GAGAGAGAGAGAGAGAGAGAGAGAGGGGGGGAGGGGGAGGGGAAGCGACAGAAAGAGAGAAAAGGGAGAGAGGTAGAGAGACAGACAGACAAAGTGCGAGAGAGAGAGAGAATTAAACTCAAGTCGCAGCAGTGCGTAAATGTTTCGCTTCTTGAAACGCGGCCCACGCACTGCATGCACATGTCCCACCTTCACCACCACACACGTTGTTACCACTAGTCACTACTTCAACGGCCATTGTGACGCGTGTAACCATCGTAGGGCCTACCAGCAGATTCACACCACTCGCTGTGGCCACCGTTCCAGATAATCTGAAACTACTACAATCGCGCGGACTGAAACTACGGAAATATTGCCCGCTGCTACAATACAACACAACACATCAAGCTACCTGCCATAGCAGAATAGATTTCCCATCACGTAAGCAGTGACTCATCGCAGTGGATTGCCTCCTGAACTGGGGCACACTGAAGAGTGCACGTCTCCTCGTGAAATCTTCTCACCTACGGGCGTCGTGTAGGTGTGTGTGTCTGTGTGTGTCTATGTGTGTCTATGTGTGTCTAATGGTCATTCCTGAGTGCATCAGACGCACGCACACGTGTACGTGCTGGCTGCCAAACGCGTTTTAAAACACGCGGCAGCTAAGATCGACTCGGATATATTTATGTATCCGGTCGCCACGACCACACGTAGGAATCGCAGAACGCCGCGTGTAGACTCGAGTCGCGCACAAACCTCCAGCCATCGTTGCCGCACCGTGTTCCCAGGCGTACGACAAATGCTTACGACAATGTTTATCACATCAAAAATGCGTCCACTACACACAAGGTGGCTGAAACTTCACGCCCGTGGCCAGAATCGTAGTCAATCGCTCCGCTACAGAAAAAAGTGGACAACGCACACATACGACAAACGTATTGCCTATACGTATATATATACGTATCACGATCCGACGCACTAATATAAAGTTACTGTTCTTGCTACGAGGAAAGATGCGCACGTTCACCACACACAAACACGAACACGGTCCACCACCTAGCGCGACGTGGCTGCGAGACGAAACGCCCATACACACATACGCGCGTCGGGCAGTACATGGCGTCTGCGTATCTCGGCGGATACCACTGGTATTACCAGCTACCTGCAGACACTGTACACCTCCCAGCCATCGCCGAGCAGCCGACACCAGGTAAATGATGACTTGCGGGCGGCGCGTGGGAAGGCAGGCAGGCAGGCAGGCAGACGAGTTGTGCGCGCTGCGAGAGCGATGACTCGCGACCTGTGTCGTAAACTAGTCATATAGAGCGCTATCTGAGGCACGTCTCGGCTACTGCCGCTAGCATGCGTGACTCACTCACTCACCGACTCTGCCCAATCGCTCACTCAGTCAGCAGACAATCGATCGATGGTCAGGAAGATGACAATATATATATATATATATATATATATATATACTATATATTATATATAATAGATATATATACGATATATATATATATATATATATATATACATATATAGAAAAGAGAGAGAGAGAGAGAGAGAGGAGAGGAGAGAGAGAGAGAGAGAGAGAGAGAGAGAAGAGAGAGAGAGAGAAGAGAGTGAGGAGAGAGAGAGAGAGAGAGGAGAGAGAGAGAGAGAGAGAGAGAGAGATAGAGAGAGAGAGAGAGCAGAGAGAGAGCGAGAGAGAGAGAGAGACAGAGAGACAGGCACAGAGAGATAGATAAATAGCTATATAAATAGGTAGATAGATAGATATAGAGAGAGAGATGGATGAATGGATGGATGAATGGATGGATGGATGGATGGATGGATAGACAGACAGACAGACAGACACAGACAGACAGACAGACAGACAGACAGACAGACAGACAGACAGACAGACAGATAGATAGATAGATAGATAGATAGATAGATAGATAGATAGATAGATATATGCGTGGCATGAGTGCGTGTGTGATCACTGTGACCTCTGCCCCCACACGCAGCCACAGTAACCACACTGTGACTGTGACATTTGCGACAGCTCATAAATCCCCCGACAATCCTAACTGCCTAATGATCCTAATCCACATTTCTTATTTTTGATTGCGTTTTTACGTTTGACAATCCCAACAGTCATTCTGTGTTTTTCGCAGTCTTATGTATGCGTCTTTGAACTGATCGAGTTTGCCTGTGCAGTTGGGCCACTCGTGACAGGTGCATTTGAATCCAGTTTGTACAGCCCCACCCCGAACCCGCCCCCATCCGTCCATAAATGACATGCCTTATGAAATTCATAGGAGAACCTGTATATGCGTGAATATACGACGATGTAACTACTATGCATGTATGAACATGTGTAATTATGCATGCATGAAGAGATGTAACTATGTACGTGTGTAAATATATGTGATTATAGTCGTGGAGAATGGTCGACTATACACACGTGCAATGACAGCATCGTCATGTCGCGACTGCCTAGAGATCGACACATTACTGGTCTTTCTAGACGTGCACCATCTTCAGCTAACGTCAGATTACCCAAAACCTTCTTGCTGCAATCGTAAATCAAATCAGTGACTCACGAAGTCTGCAGTGACAGGCATTGCTGCTTGAATCGAATGGCCTGCCCTGCTCGTTGAATCTATTTAACCTGCCCCTGCTCAGGTCTAGTAGCTGCCTTGCTGCTGCTTGGATCGAGCTGGCCTGCCCGAGCCTCACACACGATATCGCGGCCAGCCGGAAAAGATATCTCTGGTTGTAATAAGCGTAAACAAGTTTACGGTTCAATACAAGTAGCAGCGTAGCCGTGGCGGCGGCAAGGGCAACAGCAGCAGCAATCGCAGCAGTAGTACTAGCAGCAGCAGTAGCAGCAGCAGCAGCAGCAGCAAGCAGAGCAGCGCAGCAAGCAATAGCAGCAAGCGTAGCACGTAGCAGCAGCAGCAAGCCAGCAGCAGTACTAGCTGGCTCAGCCAGCAGCCAGCAGCAGCAGCGCAG